TGTGTGTGTGTGTGTGTGTGTGTGTGTGTTATTCCTAACAGACAGGAAGCAGCAGGTGAAGCTTGGCAGAATCACATCTGATACTGTACAATTAGCACAGCCCCCCCCCACCCAAGGCTGTGTGCTTTCTCCGCTTCTCTTCTCCCTATATACCAATGACTGCATCTCAAACAATCCATCTGTTAAAATATTGAAGTTTGCAGATGATACAACAGTGATTGGTCTCATTTGAGACAACAACGAATCCACATACAGACTGGAGGTTGTAGAATTTACCTCATGGTGTAACAGGAAGAATCTGGAACTGAAAACACTCAAAACCATATAAATGGAGGTAGACTTTAGGAGAAACCGTCCCATACTACCACCTCTTACAATACTAGATAACACAATATCAACAGTAGAGACCTTCAAATTTCTAGGTTCTATCATATCACAAGACCTAAAATGGACACCTAATATAAAAAATGTCATCAAAAAAGCACAACAAAGAATGTTCTTTCTGCGCCAACTCAGAAAGCTCGAACTGCCCAAGAAGCTGCTGATACAGTTCTACAGAGGAATTATTGAGTCTGTCATCTGCACCTCTATAACTGCAATCCAACAAGACAGACACAGACTTCAGAGAGTAATTAGGACTGCAGAAAAGACAATTACTACCAACCTGCCTTCCATTGAGGACCTGTATACTGCACGAGTCAAAAAGAGGGCTGTGAAAATATTTACAGACCCCTCACATCCTGGACATAAACTGTGTGCCATGCCCTGGTTCAATCACAGGGTAGGAGTTGATAAACTCCTACCCTGTGATTGAACCGGGGCATGGCACACAGGCAACACAGTCAAATAAGCAAGAAATGTCCCTTTAATACTTTCAGCTTTGCCCCCAGTGTCCAGTTACCTTCGGATGGAGAAAAAATTCTCCCAAGAACAGTTTTTAAGTGGAGGAAATTCAGTCCAAAAACAAAGTACATACAAACTGTAAATAAAAATCCATACAAACCACACTGCAGTAATTAACTTGACAAGGCAGAGAAGGAATTGCAGACTTGAAAGCCCAAAACACACAGTTGGGAAGATGCCAGGAACCCAGATAAGCCTCAACGATACCAGATAATTCATGATTTGCTCCCAACAACTTTGCTGTGCGCAGCTTCCCTTTTTAAACACTGTGTTCCCAGCTGCAACTAATGAAGGGAATCAGGGCCCTTTTCTCCCCCGTAAGCCATGCAACTCACGTTGCTCCCTTCTCCATTCCTCCATGCGTGCCCTAGGATGAAGAGGAGGTAGGCCTAAGTCTTCCTCTGAATTCTCTCTCCCTTGCCCTACCTCTTCCCTGCTCTGCCCAGTCGGCCTTTGCCCTTCCCCAGTTTCTTCCACAGTCAATGGAGTCACACTCCCACTCCCTGTCAGCTGCTTGGCCTCCTCCTCTGAATCAGATTCTGACAGGGGCATGATATATCCTCAAAATGATGCTATAGAGCACTGCACACCAGAACAACTAGACACAGGACAGTTTTTTCCCAAATGCCATCACTCTGCTAAACAAATAATTCCCTCAACACTGTCCAATTATTTACAAAATCTGCATTACTATTAATCTTCTCATCACTCCTTATCACCCATCTCCTCCCCTCCCACTTGTGACTGTATGACTATATCTTTATTACTTGTATCTTTACAATTTATATTGATTGTTTCCTAGTATGATTTGAATGCTTATTGTACCCTATGACTATTATTAAGTGTTGTACCTTATGATTCATGACTCTTGATGAATGTATCTTTTCTTTTATGTACACTGAGAGCATTTGCACCAAAACAAATTCCCTGTGTGTCCAATCACATTTGGCCAATAAAGAATTCTATTCTATTCTATTCTATTCTATTCTATTCTATTCTATTCTATTCTATTCTATTCTATTCTATTCTATTCTTTCTAAATTATTTTGTAGGCATCAACAAAGAGTCAGTCACAAAGGTATTATTCTGGTTGTAAATAGACTATGGCAAAAAAAAAAAAAAATGCAACAAGCACCAATTTGCAGTCTATTTTGGCACACATGAAAGAAAATCACGGAAACTTCCCTTGTTATTATATCAAATTAACTAAAAATAAAATTATAATTAATGGCCATAAAAACAAATTAGATTTCTGCCCATCCATGACAACCAAAATCAGTTTAAGATGGTGACCTTAATCTGCATAATAGTAGCAACAGCTTTGATAGAAAATCCTCTTCAACCAGCATTATATTTTTCAAACTGGTATGCTCAAGGACATTAAAAACCTATTGAGAATCTATGCTTCTTCAGATGTTGCAGAACAATTTCTAGCACCCTTTACCACAGTACTGCTGGGAATTGTAATTCAACCATATTTGGGAATCACAAGTCCTTCTTCTATGCAATGAAAAAAAGAATGGGTCAACTTAAATTATTTTTGTTGAAAGCATGGTATTAAATGCTAGATACAACATGTAACCTATGTAAGATAGAAACCTTTGAGGATAATCCTCAGAGGCATTCCAGTATAGTCTGTGAACTAACTCTCTTAACACAACAAGTAGGCAATTATTAAATGCATAGGACATTTTGCATTAGTTATTGTTAATTAAACTCAAAAGTTTAAAATATCTTAAAAACACAAGATACACCCAATTTTATACACATACACATGTCATGATTACTGAAGATGTCTTATGCAACCCAAATTAAAATGTAACATGCATTTTATAAAATGTTGTGTACCAAAGAGAGAGTTATCACTTGTTGGTGATAACATCTGATCATAAAATGCTCTCTCAATAGAGGATAATCTGAGGCTTTCTTCATTGAATCAGGTGAAAGCTGACTGAAATTTCCCTGGCTATAAAAATGTGTGATTTAATAATACCTCACTTCTGATATAGTGTACATCTTTATTGATGTTCTAAAAATGACAATATAATTTGACCTTTAATGAAATTATTTACAGTATATTATTATTAAAATTTTATGATCCATTTTACATTATATCCTATATTTTTAAAAAAGCTACCAAAACAAGAACTCACCTGTTTACGTTCTTCTGAGTTTAGTAGAAGATAACGTGGATCAAACACAATTTTATGAAGTTCTTTTTCCCATGTGGAAAATGCAGAGACCTGAAAAAAAAATGTTACATAGTGTATAAAAAAAGTTTAAAGGCTTGAGAATGAAATAGCAATAGCAATAGAACTTAGACTTGTATACTGTTTCACAGTGCTTTACAGCGCCCTCTAAGCGGTTTACAGTCAGCATATTGCCCCCAATCCGGCTCCTCATTTTACCCACCTTGGAAGGATGGAAGGCTAAGTCAACCTTGAGCTGGTGAGAATTGAACTGCCAAACTGCAGGCAGCTGGCAGTCAGAAGAAGTAGCCTGAAATACTGCATTCTAACCACTAACCACTGTGCCAGTATGACACAGAAGTAGGTATCAATATCTTTATTAAAGAAATATTACAGTGTACAATGTTTTGAATTATATCATCAATCATCTACATTATTATTGTAGCACAAGCAAAAAAAAAAAAAATCTCAGGAATTTAGATTAAAAAGAAAATGAACTATATGAAGTAGGAAAAAGAAATGAGTTGTTTCCTTGGACTAGAAATTAAATAAAAAGTGAACATTTTGTTTAAAAAGAACTGAAAGCATGCTGTCATATTCAGTAATTGGTAATCTAATAATAGAATGATTATGCCCATTCCACTTGCTACATATAAGATTTACTTTTTTAGCAAATGTTCTTTATCCAGCATGCATTCAGATGAATACTTATTCATCTTTTACTCTTTCTACACATGTTCAGGTTTTGTTCAGAGGTTTTCTGAATATTTCAGCAATTCAAGAGGCTTCAAACTGAAAAGATATTGGAATAATTCACCATAAAAGTCACTGACCCTCAGTTGGCCTCCACATACATTTTCCATTCTCCTTTAGTGAAAAGTGCTAAAAAGTTAACCAAGTTTATGTACAGCATAGTCTTAAATTCATGAGAGGACAATTCCTTTATTAGAACAAACCAAAATACCACCAAAAATAGCACAATCTCAAGAAACTTCAGGCTACAGCTTGGGTAAGGAAGTTAGCTGCACTTTCATACCTGACTCTAGGAGTCATATCCAGTAAGCTTGGGATGTCAGACTTCAAAAACCAAGATAGACATTCTGAGTTGCTTCAAATCAGTTTCCTTTATTGTTCCTCACCTGTAGATAGCAATCTTTCCAAACTAAACCCAATACTTGCACCACTAAAGATATAACTCTAAGAACTCCTAGAGAGAAGCTCTCTTGACCCTCCTCCTCTCAACCAAACTATCTGGACTTCACAGTCTCTTGCTTCTCTGGAATATAATACTTCCTGCCTGGGAATTCAGACTACATTCCACACAGGACCAGAGATCCAATAGTGGTAGTCTTCATTTAGTGACCACAATTGGAATTGGCAACTTGGTTAAGCAAAGCAGTTAAGTCAACATCATTATAATTTTATTCAGGCTTTCCTTTGCTTTAGAGCAGGTGTGTCAAACTCAAGAGCTGGGGTTGGATCTGGCCCATGGGGTGCTTAGATCTGGCCTGCAGGGCCTCCCTGGAAACAGTGAAGGACCAGCCCGAAATGCCTCTGCCAGTGAAAATGAAGCTCAGAAGAACTGCAGGTGGATCCTCCCGAGCTCTGTTTTTGCTGGCAGAGGGTTGTGGAGGCCACCATAGCCAAAACCAGAGCTTGGGAGCCCATTTTCGCTGGCAGAGCAGTCAGACCACCACAGGCACCCTCGACATGAGTGACGTCAAGCTGGCCATGCCCACCCCAGTCCCCTGAGGTCAAACACAACCCCGATGTGGCTCTCAATGAAATCAACTTTGACACCCCGCTTTAGAGCATCAGAAAGATATGGTCTAAATAGTTGGGTAAGCCCAAACAGCAGGAAAGATTTCATGAGGAAGTAAAAAAAAAAAAAAAAGCTTTCATTTAAAACTGATTAGAATCTTGTCAGTGTGAAGAAGAAAAGCAAGTACAAAGATGGGTTCTAATCAATTAATTAAAGGCACAAAACTGAACTTGTTACCTTGTGGTTAACTTTTTCAACACCATGAAGAAAAGCAGCTCAGGAAGACATAGATTGTTTAAGCAATGTCTCTGTTCTGCAGGGGTCAATTTTGTGACCAATGTCCACATTTCTCTTCTCCACTCCGAAAGAAATGCAGGCATTAGTCACAAAGTTTATATTTCAGCACTACTATAACTATGAATAGTTGTTTCTGATGCAGTTGCTAAACAAGGATTACCTGTATGGTAGAGTATGTAGCAGACGGGTATACCGTACAAATTATCACATTTCATTATTAAATAATATCCAATTTCCACCCGTAACTATTCTTTTTTTTAAAAAAAAAATTAAAATAAAGTTTATTTAAGTTTCATATATTTAAAACATTTAAAAAGAAACAAACAAATATATAAACAAATATATATATACATATATACATTTTGCAGCAGGTATTGAGTATTGGTTACATTTTTCTTTTCTTTTTTTCTTTTACCCCATAACATTGACGTGATCTACCTTGTTACAATACCTTCCTCGTTGTTTTAATGTTTTAATTTCACAGAATACTTTATGATTAAACCACCCGTAACTATTCATTAGCATCTGGTGATTATGCCAGAAAACATAATTTCGGTTGACAAATTTTATATAATAGATTTTAATCAATAAATATACATACCACAATTAAAAGCTTTATTTTTAGCATGTCAAATGCTTAGGCTTGCATTTATTGCAACTGTCTAGCACAGCTACTCCTGCCTTATGTCCTCTTAATCTTACTTATTCACAAGTCTTTACTTCTAATGGAAAATGTGGCTATTATTTCTGAAGAAAAATCAAAGTATAAGGATTGTGATGTGTGTACAGAGAAACACCCCCCACCCCCCCAAAAAAAAAATTCACCACCAATTTTAATGATTTGTAGTATACTTTAAAAAGATATGGGATAAATCTATAAGATGGCTTTCAAAGCAACTTGCTAGTGACATTAGCTAAAAATAAGTGCTAAAAAAGCCTCTGAAGGCTAGCATGAGCACCCAATTAATTTCTAAACACATTTCTTTCCTAGATGCTATAATTACTTTTCTAAGTTATCAATGCACCCAAACATTTTATATCAAGAGCTGCTTCTATATAATGTACATACATGCATTTCAGATATTTGGGCAGAACATACCACAACATAGTTTCCCTTCCAATCAGCATCCTGCCAAAATGAAGAGTGTTGATTACATTATAAGGGTCAGTGGGATTTCCCTTGTAGACCTGGAATTTTAAGTATTTCTACTGTAGGATGAAATATATCAAAAATATTAAACTCAGTGAGTTTCATTAGCTCACAGCTGCTAAATAAATGCCTGCATAGTGGGCCAATAATTTTAATGGACCAAAATGGATTCTTTCACAATTTAACCATATAGTTTTATGATATCTTAGTGATGAACTTAAAAGAAGATCCTCATGAAGAATATTGTACAATTAAATGTATATTTAATAGTTTAGAGGTATAGATACTGTAATTATTTAAGATTAGGCAGAGATCAGAAATTGGAATATGCATGAAACTCAACACACTGAAATAGCTTCTCAAATGATAAGATTTAAAATTCCCCAGTCTGCTAGCTTCTAGATGTATTTAACCATGAGTTTATATTTCCTGTCTTATTACCTATGCTGAGTGGAAATTATGGAGCTGCAAACCAAGCATCTGGTTGGGGAAACTTACTAATGGAAACAGCAATACTTGAGACAGCATAAGCGTAGAACATAGAATAACAGAGTTGGAAGGGACCTTGGAAATTTTCTGCTTGAGCAGAAGACCTTATACCATTTCAGATAAATGGTATGGTCCAGTGTCTTTTTGAAAGCCTTCAATGATGGAGCACCCACAACTCTTGAAGGCAAGTTATTCCATTGGCTAATTGCTTTGTTAGGAAATTTCTCCTTAGTTCTAGTTTCCAACCACTATTTGTTGTATTGCCTTTTAGTGCTTTGCACAATAATTTGACCCCCTTGCCTTCTACAAAGATGAGAGAGTCAAATAATTAGGTAATTTGAGTCCCTCAAATATTGGAACAGTGCTATCATGTCCCCTTTTGGCGTTTTGGAAAATAGTTTGACACCTAGTCTTTCTTTTCATTAGACTAGACATACCCAATACATGGATAGGATCAAGAAACTTGATAAGCACAAATCATGTTTTTATTGTTTCCTTTAAAAAAAAGCTAAGCTTGTGTACAGTAAATGGCAACAACATAATAGCAAACAGTGGAGTTATCTCTTGATAAGAACATATTAACAACCAATGTAAACAATTAATCTGTTGCAATGTACCTATTACATATATTAAGATTATATCATGCTGCCCAATAGTACAGGAAACAGGAAAACCATAGGCAATTTCTTACCCCTCTTTCCAAAAGCATATCTCGAAAATGGGTAATACGTTCCTCCAAGGGAAGGGTAATCTGATGTTCTGATGTTTTCACGTTTTTCTCTTCCATTGTTATTTTTTCTAGCTCTGTATTCTGTGAATTTTCCAACCTTAAATAATAGAAGAGACACGCAAAGTGATATATGTGTTTTTAAACTCATGGTAAACTTTAAAGTACAGGAACATCTCGGAAAAAATAAGCAACATATTTTTCTCTGTAGTGAATTTGGAAAGTAGCTGCTAAATTTTAATCTGAGACAATGTGTTAGCCTAACTACCTTTATTCCAACCACAACTGGCCTTAAATGCAAGCTACTCAATGCAAGAAGCCTTGTAAATAAAATAGCTGAATTTCTCCTCTTACTAAATACGGCTAAATTCGACATTATATTTGTCTGTGAAACATGGCTCAATGCATCTCTCCCTGACTCCATTACCACAGTAAGAGACTATCATGTTTACCAATCAGATCGTGAAATCCGTAGAGGAGGTGGTGTTGCTATCTTCTATAAAAGGTCCCTACATCTAAAAAAACATCCAAGTTACCCAGGAGCTTGCTATTCCTGAGACCATCATCTGTGAATTGTCCTTAATATCGCATTTTGGTTCTTACTATGTTACAGAGCCCCTGATTATGACATTGAACATGTAAACAAGCTAAATACACTACTAACATGGCAACATCCTGTCCACACACTTTTATCTTTCTTGGTGATTTCAATCTACCTCATATTAACTGGACCCTTAATGAATGTACAACTGAACCCATACATGCAACCTTCTACAATGCAGTAACAAATCTGGGACTAGAACAACTAGTAACCAACAACACTAGACGTAACAACTGCCTCGATCTCATCTTCTGCAATAGTTTGAATTCAATTTATGGAATACAAATTAAAGAACCCTTTTCCAACAGTGCCCACAACATGATTGACTTTTGTCTCAACATACGTCCACACAAAAATCATCACAATGATCGAATCCCCAATTATAACTTCAAAAAAGGCAACTATGATTTTATAAACAACGATCTCTCATCCCTTGATTGGCAATTTCTATTCTCTGGATGCAATACTGTAGAAGACCATTACAACATATTTTTACTTGAAGTCAAAAGAGTCATCAAACTATATGTACCATTAACAACTACCAAAACCAGAAAAAACAAATTACCCATAACAATAAGGAAGCTTCGATCCAAAAAGAAATCACTTTGGCGGAAAAACAAATCCGGTCATGTTGCCAACTTCAAAAGCCGATACAAAAATCTATGCCACCAGATAAAAACTGAATGCACCAATTATCACATTAAACAAGAAGAAAACCTTCTACTCACCAATTCCACCCGCGCTTTCTACAATTTTGTAAACAACAAGCTAAAAGACTCAAGGTCCATCCCACTCCTGAAAGGACCTAATGGTAAAGACTGCAACAATGACATTATTAAAGCCAACCTCTTTAACATATTCTTGACAAGAAGATAACTGAAAACAATAACTAAAAGTGAAGCAGCCTACTAAGTGTTTGACATATTGCTGAGTCTGTTCTTATTGGGAAGACTCATCAGGGTGTAAAATTATTCACAAAATATATTTGGGAGCATTTGGCAAGAAACAAAAATATTCACAAGACCTTTTCTACTTTAACATGGTAGAAGTTGGAAATCAATGAAGTAAGAAGATATTTTCATCTTCCATTTCTACTACTATCTGCTTAGTCAAGGAAAAAATGTGAAGAAGTGAAACAAAGAGATATAAAGAGAAGATGTGGTCTGTAATAGTGGTTTAACTGAAAGTCAGCTTGGTCCAGTGGTCAAGATATCAGGCTAGAAACCAGGAGATGATGAATTCTAGTCCTGCCTTAGGCATGAAGCCAGCTGGGTGATATTGGGCCACTCTCTCTCAGCTCTAAGAAGGAAGCAATGACAAATAACTTCTTTAAAAAAACTTTTTAAAAAACTGTAGGACTTGTCCAGACAATTGCAAGAGTAAAAAAAAAGGGATTCAACTACCTAACTTGCTCGTATTCTTCTTGTTAAGAAATTTAAAAGAAGAACCTTCATCAATCCCTCTCCAAATCCCAACTTAATTTCTATTTGTTTCTTTAGTAAGGAGAAATAATGAACAATACAGCAAATAGAGAATGGGTTAAATAAAGCTCTGCCTTTCTATCTAGCCATTTTATTTGGTCATCTGCAACAGATTTTTTAAAATAACCATTGCAGGTTAAAAATGTAATATATTTACACTTTTTAATTTGATGAGTTAATTTCTGGAATGATATATTTTTTTCAAAGGAAGGCACCTGGATATCCAGTTCTTTTAATGAAGCATATTTTGAGAAAATCTATATATTTTGACTACCTGTTTTCAGATTCTGAGGTTGCGGAACAAATCAGTAAGGTCATGGACTGCAAATTATTCTTTCATATTTTCAATCAAATTGCTGTTTTAAAAGTATCACAGATTTTAGGAAACTAGTTTCAAAAACTTAATAAAAGGAGACTGGCTTTCAGTAGTGATATAACTTGGACACCAGGGGAACTACAGATTAAAAACTGGTGAGAGAGAGAGAGGTCAATTGTAATAGAAATGTTAAAATCTACTTTCAGGTAATAAATTGCATTCTCCAGTTAACAATATGGGTCCTAACTTACAATATTATCTTCTTGCCATCCATAATTGCATTAAAAATTTCACTCTTAAATTACACTAAAATGGATATTGCATGATATTAGTAGCACTAAAGCTATCAATTTGCCACTTTTCATATTAGAATAGTGACTTGGATATTGTATTAGCTATTTTAATTCTTTCCAGTTATAATATTCCATAATATGATCTATGAAACTTCCAATCTAATTTCAGGTAACTACCAAGTATTTATATACAGTGAAATTGATGGGAACCAGAAAGTTAAATCATTAGCAAAGGTAGCCAGAGAGAATCTCTTTCTTCCAGTATAGTTAATTAAAATGATTTTAAAATATTATAGTTATGCATTTATACTTGCAGCTAAAACTATCATAAAAAAAATTAATTAAAGCATTGTGCAAATTAAAAGCTGTTAAACCAGTGTATTAAAATGCTGAAATTTGAAGAAAACATAAATGAAGTTGAACTATATTTTCTTAGTATTGCATCATTTTAAATATCATCTATTATCTAAACATAAAAAGGAATTATCAATATGAAACAACAATAATAATAATTACACACAGGTTTATTTTAAATTTTCCTAAGTCCTAAGAATATCATGGAAACTCTCTTCATATAAAATATATAAAAGTTTTTATTAGATCTGTCCAGAATACAGGAGGGTGCAAAACTGTTTTGGCCTGAATAGTGGACATCTCATGGATAAACAAACCTACCACTCACAATCCTTGATCCCTTTTTTATGGCAGCCCTCAAATATTGGAACACTGCTATCATTTCACTTCTAGCCCTTCTTTTCACTTGACTAGACAAACCAATTCTTGCAACCATTCTTAATATGTTTCAGCCTCCAGCTCTCTAATTATTTTTGTTGCTCTTTTCTGCATTCTTTCCAGTGTCTCTACATTCTTTTTTATAATACGTAACCAAAACTATATGCATTGTGGTCTGATCATTGTGGTCACCTGTAAAGTCATGGAATGTCACCTGTAAAGTCATGGAATCAATTATTAACCAATCCATTATCCTCCACTTAGAGACAAACAACCTACTCTCTAATAAACAATTTGGTTTCAGAAAAAAACCATCCTGTAATCTGCATCCTATCAAATACTGTACCTGTAAACAGTGGTGTCCCCCAAGGCAGTGTTCTAGGACCAACTCTTTTCATACTCTACATAAATGACCTCTGTGATAATATCAAGAGCAACTGCATTCTCTTCACTGATGATGTAAAGCTATTCAACACCAGAGACAATACTGCTACTCTTCAAAAAGACCTTGACTATGTATCAGAATGGTCAAACAAATGGCAACTTCAAATCTCAACAAATAAATGCTCTGTCTTACATATTGGCAAAAAAATCAGAAAATAAAATACAGGCTGAATAGTCAAGACCTTGTTGATGATCCAAACTCTGTCAAGGATCTTGGAGTACTCATCTCTAATGATCTAAGTGCTAGAGCCCACTGTAACTCATAACCAAAAAGGCATTAAGAGTTGTTAACCTAAACTTATGTAGCTTTTTCTCTGGTAATATTACACTACTAACAAGAGCATACAAAACATTTGCTAGACCAATACTCGAATACAGCTCATCAGTCTGGAACCCACATTACGTATCTGATATTAGCACAGTTGAGAAAGTCCGGAAATATTTCACAAGAAGAGTTCTCCACTGCTCTACTCGTTGCAGAATACCTTATGCCACCAGACTTGAAATTCTAGACCTAGAATACCTAGAACTACGCGCCTTCAGTCCGATCTAAGTATAGTATATAAAATTATACATTGCAATGTCCTTCCTGTCAATTAATACTTCAGCTTCAACCATAACAATACAGGAGCAAACAATAGATACAAATTCAAGGTTAACCGCACCAAACTTGATTGCAGGAAATACGACTTCAGCAACAGAGTGGACAATGTCTGGAATACTCTACCTGATTCTGTGGTTTCTACCCCAAAGCCCAAAAATTGTCTACTATTGACCTCACCCCTTTCCTAAGAGGTCTGTAGGGGGCGTGCATAAGCACACCAATGTGCCTACCGTCCCTGTCCTGTTGTTTCTTTTTATTTTTCTTATATGTATCCATTCCATGTATTCATAACTTTGTTTATATTTATACCTATTATCTTGTAAGCAATTGACAAATCAAATAAATCAAATAAATAAATAAACAAATAAATCATGACTTGTTACTTTGTGCTAAGGTGATGGTAGTGGTGGTAGAAGAGGAGGAGGGATTGTTTTTGCCTCGATATTCTCATTCTCTCTCTCTGTCTCTCTGTCTCTCTGTCTCTCTGTCTCTCTGTCTCTGTCTCTGTCTCTCTCTCTCTCTCTCTCTCATACTATTAAGACTTACTTGTTTCTCTTTGTTTTGATGCTGCTGTCATCATTCATATCTTCTGGATCTGTGCCATCTTTATCTGCTAAAAGGAAACAAACTAGTTAGTGACAAATATGTCATTAATCCAATCAGATCAGCCAGTTTAATTTTTGTTTTATTAGAGTTGGTTCAATTTCTAAATTTCCCCTTTCTCTGTCCATTAGAAATGATTTAAAAAGACATTTGTAACTTGTTCTTCTCCGTATTTAGTTTAGAACTCTTTCTATGGTTAGGTCCATCACATATATCTATACCTCCATTTCCTTCTTTAACTCTAATTACCTTTTTAACCGTTAGAGTGTTACAGTTTTAGTACTTGCTGGGAATCAATAAAATGTAGTCCAGCATATCTGGAAGCAAGGATTATGCACAAGTAATGTTATCTGAGAGTACATTAGTTAATCTTGGCCAATAAAAACAGCATTGATAATGAGCTGATTTGATTGTGAAACCAAATACATTCTTTTCACACACACACACACACACACACACACACATATATGGGTAACAAACAGGTAAACAATCCTTGCAGGCTTACACATGGATAACAAGTGGGAATGGTACACCAGATACGAGTACCATTAACCGTCCATTTTTAAGGATCTTAATTGTGAACTGATTCTATGAATCCTCCTTCAAGGATTCATTATCCTTGAAAAAAGTCCTCTCATTTAGAAAGACTCCGTAGAAAAGTAAACAAATGATTTGTAAGTGCTATGAAGAAATTCAAAGAAAAATAACTGTAAACAGATAAACAAGAGTCACACTGTATTCATTGTAAATTTACAGTATAAACTCTGCAACAATCAACAAATAGTTCATTGAACAAGTCAATTCAAAATAATAAGAATTTATGGCCATGTTTGGAGAGGCTGTAGGTGAAGGCCCCACATCCAGTAATGTGGTTGAGGTTTCCTACATCTGAATTATGTTAACAATCAACTATGTTAACAATCAAAGTTCAAATATTGTGAGCTCTTTTTGCTAACACACTTGCAACACTTCAATAAAACTCTAATCTCAGAATGATTAGAATCTTGTTCAATCTTTATCCAGATATACAATCATGCTCCTTTTAAATTCCAAGAATTTGGAATGCTTGAATCCCAATAATCTTTTTGGAGAGCACCAATTGTTCTTATTTCATCAAAGATACACACTGTAGGTATCAAGAACGTACCCAAAAATATGTTCTGACTTATTGGACCTAATTTTCCCCAAGAATATGGTATGAAACAACTATAAAATCTTTATCACCACATAGGCATCTAAAAATGTTTAGAAAGAAAAACATTGTATACACTTAAACATTATTCTCTCAGTGTGAGAACAAATAACTTGAATCAAGAGGCTATGGAAAGCAAACAACTTCATAGGATATTGGTCAAAAGGCACTGGAATTGCCTACTTTCTAGAATTAAATTGAGTTTGAGAAGAAAATATAACAAATATATAAAGGTCACCCATTTACTTTATAAGAAATATGAAGTCTGCCAATCCATCTTGGAAAAGATACAATGAGAATATTTTTTTAAATGGCCACAAAGTATGACAAAGCAACATACGAACATTTCTAAATAATGTCCGTCCTAACTTGGTACCATTTATCAATGTAAAACCATTGTATTCTATGGAATTTAAATAAATACAAACTTATTTGAAAAATGAAGGTAATGTGAATTTCTGGATGAGGACACTAATCTATGTCATCCATCCATCATATCTTAGCAACTAAGTACTATTTCTCATCAAATTCCATCATGACCTCTACCCTACCATCAATTTTGAAGTAATAAAAGCCCACTTCCTTAATGTCATAATAAAGCTGCACAATACAGGTAATTCTCAACTTACGACCACAATTGAACCCATAATGTCTGTTGCTAAGGGAGAAATTTGTTAAGTGAGTTTTGTCCCATTTTATGACTTTTCTTGTCACATTTGTTAAGTGAACCACTGCAGTTGTTAAATTAGTAACACGGTTGTTAAGTGAATCTGGTTTTTAATTTTGCGTGTCAGAAGGACACAAAAGGTGATTGATCATATGACCCTGGGATACTGTAATTGTCATAAATGTGAGTCAGTTATCAAGCATCTGAATGTAAATCATGTGACCATGGGGATGTTGTGGTTAGCGGGCAACAGGTGTGGATGGCTGAGGAGAATGAAGACTCAGATGAGGGGCCAGGACCATTAGGGAGTGGACTGCTGGCTTCAGAGACTGTGGGGACTGGCAGCAGTGATGAGGAGGTTCCCGAGGAGCCTGTGCCAAGTGTGCTTGTGCACAGGATTGCTCAGAGGAAAGAGCAGTTACAACAGCATGGGAGACTCAGGAGTAAGGCTGCAAGGTAATGGCCCTTCCTTCAAGAAGATAAAAGCCATCTGTAAACGAACATACTTTGCAGAAGGCAAAGGCATTTTGAAACTCCAGCCTCGTGGACATTCCAGTATCCTGAGTTTGTATTTGAAGATTCTTGTATTGCAAATTATTTCTTGTCTGTTATCTTTTGGCAAGTCTTGCAGAGTTTGGCAAGGCTTGTGCTTATCACAGCTAATTATTTTGCAAAAGCATTACAAGGTTTCTGTTCTATTTGGATTGTGTTTGATTTGTTGGAAAAGGGCATGGGTCAGAACAAGGGATGCTGCAATGGTCATAAATGTGAAAAATGGTCATAAACCACTTTTTTCAGTGCTGTTGTAACTTCGAGAAGTCTCTAAGTGAACTGTTGTAAGTTGAGGACTACCTGTAGATGTATAAATATCAACATTCTTCAGGACAACCAATATATCATTATGCAGACCAACATGACTTCCATCTGGAATACACTCCCAAATCCATCATCTATAAATTCAGTAGACTGTATTACCTATCCAACAAGATCAATATACAGATCAATGCCTGTATTAAAAGATAGACCACAAAAATAGATCAACAGAATATCATTGGCTATTACCTACAGGTTACAGTCAAGTCATCCAAATGTATTATTAATAAGCTGCAGCACATTCTGGACAATAACAATGCACTTTCTCAGGCAATGGGTGGCAGGCTCATACCTGCATGTTATAAATACACCTAACCTGAATCAGATTCTTAAAAGCCACAAGAAAGAACACAACCTTGCATCTAATGTCGGGGTACTCTCAGATGTCTTAGAAAGCTTTTGCATATTCTTTCTCTATTAAGATACACGCTATCATTTGTCATCAATGCCTCCTTTTATGTAGGAAAAACAAAACAAACTTCAACCAAAAGAATGAATGGACAAAAGTTTGACTTCAAAACTCAAAACAAGGACAATGTGATATCCAAGCTTTTCAGCCACCACCACCCTCACACTCACTTCATCACAGATCTCAAAGTATCCATTCTGGTAAAAATCAAACTTACTAGCACAATTGAGATATTTCTGCGCTTACATAGACCAACAGGTTTTAGGCTACCAGTAGTCCTTGATTTACGACCACAATTGAGCCTAAAATTTCTGTTGTTAAGTGAGACATTTGGTAAGTGAGTTTTGTCCCATTTTATGACCTGTCTTGTCACAGTTACTAAGTGAATCGCTGCACTTGCAAAATTAGTAACAGAGTTGCTAAGTGAACCTAGCTTCCCCATTGAATTTGCTTGTCAGAGGGTTACAAAAGGTAATTATATCGGGATATTGCAATTATCCATGAGGATGCTGCAACTGTAATAAGGATGAAAAATGGTCATAAGTCACTTTTTTAGTGCCTTTGTAACTTTGAACGGTCACTAAATGAACTGTTGTAAGCCAAGGGCTACCTGTACTGTATATCAGAAGATTTCAACAAACAGTGGGTTTTTAATTAACCTTACAATTGTTAATTGATTGATAAGGTAACTGTATTTATAAAACCATCCTGTTTTCCCTTCTCTTTCCCCTGCCTCGTCTCAATTTAAATCTTGTATCACTTTAACTACTTCATACATTTGATGAAGTTCGGCTTTTTACCTTTTTATAATATTTGTTAGCCTAAAATGCTACAGACTTCTTTTAATTTTGAACTTAGGACTAAAGATTGTAAAGGAGAATGTGACAGATATGCCATTCCTTCCCAGGTTTCCAGTTACTTTAGGCTAATTATCCTATCTGGTTATTATTGGATGAATGAGTGTTGGGCTTGAAGCACCCATTTATTTGCAACTAAAAATACATGTTTGCTTGTTTGTTTAGACCAAAGGTCTCCAAACTTGGCAACTTTAAGACTTGTGGACTTCAACTCCCAGAATTCTCCAGCCAGCTGGCTAGAGAATTCTGGGAGTTGAAGTCCACAAGTCTTAAAATTGCCAAGTTTGGGGGCCCCTGCTTTAGACATTCATTCATTCAAGTCAGAGGCAGGTTCTGACCAGTTCTGGAGAACCGGTAGCATAAATTTTGAGTAGTTCAGAGAACCGGCAAATACCACCTCTGACTGGCCCCGCCCCCATCTATTCTCTGCCTCTCGAGTCCCAGCTGATCGTCTGGATCTTCTTTTGTTGCCCTGCACAGGAGAACGGAGCTGGAAAGCAGGTTAGTGGGCTGGAGATGGAATGGGGATTTTGCAGTATCCTTCTCCAGCCACGCCCACCAGGCCACGCCCACCAGGCCACACCCACAGAAGCAGTAGTACAAAATTTTGAATCCCACCACTGATTCAAGTAATAATTCATTGAATGGACCAATGGGGCAAAAGTTAAAAAGTCATGAGTAATTGCTTAAAGCATGTTGGATTTGGGCTGCAAATAGGCAGATCACCACTAGATATCAGCAAAGAAAAATGTAAATTGTATATTTTGATTCCAGCTAGTGGTTGGCTATTTTCTTTCATTTTGTTTGCAGCTCCTGATTTGTGACCCTAGCTTAAGCAGACTAATCTTTTTCCTAATGTATTACTTCAAGCGACATTATGTCCATCAGGAGTCTTGTTTTGTTTTGCTTTAATCCATTGTTCTTGCTTCTGATTAAGTCTCATTCAGTACAGCCCCAATCAATCTTTTAATCCATTTTCAAGGGCTATTTCTCAAAAGCTTCCAGCTGTGAA